TTCGCAGAAAGTTAGCTCATGCCCCCCCTCTTTTAGTTCTTATTTAATGAATGCATTTTTCATAGATACAACTTCCCCAATACCCACCCTCCCACCCCACCTCCCATCCCACCTCCCTTCCCCTCTCCCATCTCCTTCTTCATTATGGTTCATTTTTAGTTTGATTTTATATACAGAGGACCAACTCCATGTTAAGCATAGATTTCAACAGTTTGCACCCACTGACACACACACACCATATAGAGTACAGTTTGAGAACAAGATTTGCAGTCGATTCTCATAGTACAACTCATTATGGACAGAGGTCCTACATGGGGAGTAAGTGCACAGTGACTTCTGCTGTTCCTTTAACAATTAACACTCATATTTATGACATCCGTGATCACTTAAGGCTCTTGCCATGGGCTGCCAAGGCTGTGGAAGCTTTTTTTTTTAATTAAGATTTTTATTTATTTATTTATTTGAAAGAGTTATACAGAGAGAGGAGAGGCAGAGAGAGAGAGAGGTCTTCCATCTGCTGGTTCACTCCCCAACTGGCCGCGATGGCTGGAGCTGTGCCTATCCGAAGCCAGGAGCCAGGGGCATTTTCCCCATAAGCAAAGTGGATGTTCTCTCCTCCTTTCTGAGAAGAGTATATCCTTCCTTGATGGCCCTTTCTTCCCACTGAGGTCTCACAGAGATCCTCTGTGTAGGATATTTTTTGCCACAGAGTCTTGGCTGTCCATGCCTGAAATGCACTCACAGGCCTTTAGGCCAGACTGGGAAGCCTTAATGGTTGATTCTGAGGTCAGAGTGTTATTTACAGTGAGTGTCATTCTAGGAGTCTGCTGTGTGGACTGCTTCCCATATTGGACTTTCCTTCCTTTTTAATTCTATTATTATTACCAGGCACTTGATGTTATTTATATGATCACTTTTACACTTAAACCTATCTACATGATGACTTTAGCATTTAATATGATCATCTTAACAGTTAAGCTGGCATTTATACCACTGATTTCTATGGGTTTGGAGCCCATGACAGTTTTTAGGCTGTCCCCTTGGAAGTTAAGTCTGTAGGACTGTGTGCAGAACTACACTGCTTTACAGTTACAGACTACCTCCCTCCTCTTATTCCCCCTCTTACTTTTAACTGGGGTCTTTTTCTGATTGACTTAATATACATATGATTAACTCTATGTTACATAAAGAGTTGAACATATAATATGAAGAAGGAAAAAGAAAAGAAAGAAACCAAATGAAAAGAAAAAAAAAGGATATACAAAATAAAAAGTAACAATAATAAACTGTCGGCCGGCGCCGCGGCTCACTAGGCTAATCCTCCGCCTAGCGGCGCCGGCACACCGGGTTCTAGTCCCGGTCGGGGCGCCGGATTCTGTCCCGGTTGCCCCTCTTCCAGGCCAGCCCTCTGCTGTGGCCCGGGAGTGCAGTGGAGGATGGCCCAGGTGCTTGGGCCCTGCACCCCATGGGAGACCAGGAAAAGCACCTGGCTCCTGGCTCCTGCCATCGGATCAGCGCGGTGCGCCGGCCGCAGCGCGCCGGCCGCGGCGGCCATTGGAGGGTGAACCAACGGCAAAAGGAAGACCTTTCTCTCTGTCTCTCTCTCTCACTGTCCACTCTGCCTGTCAAAAAAAAAAAAAATAATAATAATAATAATAAACTGTCCCTTGACAGTCAGGTCAAGGACTATTGAAGTCATTGATTCTAAAAGTGTCAAATTTATTTCTACAGCTTTCATTTTAGGAGTGCTATTAATTCTCTGAAATCAGGGAGAATCTATGTTATTTGTCTCTTTGGGACTGGGTTATTTCATTAAGTATGACATTTTCTAGCTTGCTCCATTTTGTTGCAAAGGACCAGATTTCATCCTTTTTTACTGCTCTGTAGTATTCCGTAGTGTATGTATCCCACAGTTTCTTTATCCAGTCTTCAGTTGATGGGCATTTAGGTTGCTTCCATGGCTATTGTGAATTGAACTGCAGTAAACATGGAGGTGCAGACAGATATTTTATTTGCTGATGTCATTTCCCTAGGGTAAATTCCTGGTAGTAGGGTGGCTGGGCCCCATGGTAGGTCTGTATTCAGGTTTTTGAGGTATCTCCACACTGTGTTCCACTGTGGCTTTACCAGTTTACATTCCCACCAACAGTGGGTCAGGGTGCCCTTTTCCCCACATCCTCTCCAGCACTTGTTGTTTGTTGATTTCTGTATGCGGGCCACTCTAACTCGGGTGAGGTGAAACCTCATCGTGGTTTTGATTTGCATTTCTCTGACAGCTAGAGATCCTGAACATTTTTTCATGTGTCTGTTGGCCATGTGGATTTCCTCTTTTGAAAAATGCCTGCTAAAGTCCCTTGGCCCATTTCTTAACTGGGTTGTTTGTATTGTTACTGTGGAGTTTCTTGATCTCTTTGTAGATTCCAGTTTTTAATCCTTTATCGGTTGTGTAGTTTGCAAATAATTTCTCCCATTCTATTGGTTGCCTCTTCATTTTCCTGACTGTTTCTTTCGCTGTACAGAATCTTCTCAATTGTTCCTGTCCTTTCTTAGCCAAACCCTGTTCCTGCTCACTCCCAAGAGGCAGCTGCTGTTTCAGAATAATTTTTTTAATTAATTAATTATTTGAGTGGCAGAAAGAAACACCCAGGCAGAGAGAGAAAGAGCTGCCATCAACTAGTTCATTCCCCATTAGTCAGGGCTGGGCTGGACCCAAGCCAGGAGTCAGGAACTCAGTCCAGGTCTCCTACATGGGTAGCAGGAACCCAGTAACTTGAGCCATCACCCCTGCCTCCCAGGGTCCGCATTAGCAGGAAGCTGGAATTGGGAGCAAGAGCCAGGGATCGAAACCCAGGCACTCTGCTCTGGGATCCAGGTATCCTAACTGATGTCTAACTGCTAGACGAACTGACTGTCTCCATAACAATTTTGAATTAATACCAGTAAAATTATTTTAAAGTTATTTAGGGAGTAGATATTTGACCTAGTAGTTAAGGCATCTGCATTCCATATCAGAGTGCCTGTGTTTAATTCCTGGCCCTGGCTCCCAGTTCAGACCAGTTTCTGCCAGTACAGACCCCGGGAGGCGGCAGGAAGTGATTCAAGTGGGAGGCCTGGGTGAGTACCCAGCTTTCAGCTTCAGCCTGGCCCAGTCCTCGGCATGTGGCATTTGAAGAGCAAACTGGTAGGTGAGAACTTGTTCTCACTTTTGCACTCATGTTCTTGCTCTCACTCTCTCTCCCTCTCAAATTTTTAAAAATTAGTAGTGGAATCTCTGGATTAATTAGGCCCACTGTTCTTGGTTCCAGACAAAGGCACAACAATTTTCCATTCTTTCCTTAGATAATAATAGGTACTTTGGATTTTTTCTTTAACTTAAATTATGAGACCAGAGAACTAACCTTCAAACTGTGGAACAGGTGTTTAAGAAAAGCTTTTTTATTTCCATAATACTGAATTGCAAGGATCTAAGGGAGAGTGTATTTAATGGGCCAAACTTCCAGAAGAAAAGAAAAAGCAGGCCACTATTGCTCATTCCCATTTATCAATAACCCGGTGTAGGCAAAGCTCTCAGTATATTGTGCAAGGTGAAAAGGAAACTCTCAGGCTTCAAAGTTGCAAGATATGATTAAGGCCCTGTGACAATAAGGGCTTATTTCCAGACAGTTCCATTCAACACCAACACTCCAGGCAGATGGAAACCTTTCCGAGTGAGGGGAAATACATCCTGTGGTGCTTAATCATACACATCTTGAAGCTTGCAGATAAACTCCATTATCAAAAGAAGGCTTGAGTCCCAAACAAGTATTGAATGACTCACTTATTCTCTCCTCTGTCGCACTGAATTGGTTTTTTCAGTGCAGAGGATAATTCTGTGACATTTATTGTGTCCTTGTGTGGACTTGTCCCCATGGAGCACATGAGGATGAAAAACACGATTCCCAATTTCAAGGCATTAACAGAGTATGTAGTTCTCTTTTATGGGGAATACCACATAGAGAAGAATTTGGACTAAGAAGTCAGGCACAGTGGGAAGGGGACTTATGAAAGAGATAAAATTTGAACTAAGCCTTACAAAGATTGGAAATATTTTTGGAAAATATGGATCAGAAAGAGCCAGCCATTTTTCATACTGCAGCCTGAAGCACAGATCTGAGAATTTCATTTCCCTGCTTAAGGCCATTCAGGGATGAGAAATACCAATGCTCACTGGGTTTTGTGAGATAATGGTGCCCAGCACACATTAGGTGAGAAAACAGGCACAGGCCGGCGCTGTGGCTCACTAGGCTAATCCTCCACCTGTGGCGCCGGCACACCAGGTTCTAGTCCCGGTCGGGCGCCGGATTCTGTCCCGGTTGCCCCTCTTCCAGGCCAGCTCTCTGCTGTGGCCCGGGAGTGCAGTGGAGGATGGCCCAAGTGCTTGGTCCCTGCACCCCATGGGAGACCAAGGTAAGCACCTGGCTCCTGCCTTCGGATCAGCGCGGTGCGCCGGCCGCGGTGGCCATTGTGGGGTGAACCAACGGAAAAAGGAAGACCTTTCTCTCTGTCTCTCTCTCTCTCACTGTCCACTCTGCCTGTCAAAAGAAAAAAAAAAAAAAGAGAGAGAGAGAGAGAGAGAGAGAGAGAAAACAGGCACAGAGACAGGCCTTGTTGGCCCCCAAATCAGCTGGTTAGTGCAGACAGAGCCAGGTTAGAACTCGGTGTCTCTGAGGACACTGTTCTGCTTAAGCACCTCAGTAGGCATTCTCGGTTTAATTCACTGAGCAGAAGTCAAGGTGCCAGCGCAGCTGTGTTCCATCCTGAGGGCTCTAAGGAGGATTCCATTCTCTTTCCCATCCTGTGCTTCTGGGTTGTGACTCCTTCCTCCATTGGCAAAACCACCAATGGCCAGTTGAGCCACTTGCACACACAACACTCCTCATTTCTGCCACATTTAAGGACCCCGTGTTCACATTGAGCCCAGCCAGGATACCCAGCATAATCTCCCATCTCACTGTCCTCACCTTAGTCGCATCTGCCAAGTTCCTCTTGCACTGTAATACCACATATTCAGCAGATCCAGGATTAAGATGTGGACCTCTTTGGAGGGGCGTCATTCTGCCTGCCGTGGTGCAGCCTGGCTGAAACCTCCCAGGTTTGCAGTGAGGCTCATTCTGGGACTGCTCCAGGAGGCTGGAAATTGGAACACAGACACACAAAGTATAAAGTACAGTTTGAAGACAAATTTTACCATTAATTCTCATAGCACACCTCATTAAGGACAGAGTTCCAACATGGGGAGTAAGTACCTAGTGCCTCCTGTTGTTGATTTAACAGTTAACACAGAGTGCTGTTTAAAGTGATTGTCATTCTGTGAATCTGCTGTGTGGACTGCTTCCAATGTTGGAACATTGTCTCCTTTTAAATTCTATCTATTGTTATTACCAGACACCTGGTCTTGTTTATGTGATTCCTTTGACATTTAATCATATCTATATGATCAATTGCATACTTAATATGATCACTTTAACACATGAGATGGCATCAGTACCACCCACCCAGCTCAATGGGATTTGGTGTCCCATGGAAGTTTTTATCTTTACTATTAGGGGTAAGTCTATAGGAATGTGTGCCGAATTGTACAGCTCCTCCCTCTCTTATTCCCACCCTTATTTTTTACCGGGATCTATTTTCAGTTGACTTTATACACCTATGATTAATTCTATGTTAAGTAATGGTTCAACCAATGGGACAAAGTAGAAAAAAATAATAATAAAATAATAAACTGTTCCTCAACAGTCAAGACAAGAGCTGTTCAAGTCATTGCTTCTCATAGTGTCAGTGGATTTTTGTATAAGGTGTAAGGTAGGGGTCTTGCTTCGTACTTCTGCATGTGGAAATCCAGTTTTCCCAGCACCATTTGTTGAAGAGACTGTCCTTCCTCCAGGGATTGGTTTTAGCTCCTTTGTCAGATGTAAGTTGGTTGTAGATGTTTGGATTGATTTTTGGCATTTCTATTCTATTCCATTGGTCTATCCATCTGTTTTTGTATCAGTACCAGGCTGTTTTGATTTTAACTTTCTTGTAGTATGTCTTGAAATCTGGTATTGTGATGCCTCCAGCTTTGTTTCTATTGCTTTAGATTGCTTTAGTTATTCAAAGTTTCCTGTGCCTCCAACTGAGTTTCAGCATCATTTTTTCTAGGTCTAAGAAGAATGTCTTTGGTATTTTGATTGGTATTGCATTGAATCTGCAAATTGCTTTTGGAAGAATGGACGTTTTGTTGATATTGATTCTTCCAATCCATGAACATGGAAGATTTTTCTTTTTTTTTTATCTTCTTCTATTTCTTTCTTTAATGTTTTGTAATTCTCATTGTAGAGATCTTTGACATCCTTGGTTAAATTTATTCCAAGGTATTTGATTTTTTTGTAGTTATTGTGAATGGAATTGATCTTAAGTTCTTTCTCAGCTGTGGTACTATCTGTGTATACAAAGGCTGTTGATTTTTATGTATTGACTTTATATCCTACTATTTTGCCAAACTCTTCTGAGTTCCAATAGTCTCTTAGTGGAGTCTTTTGGATCCCCTATATATATAGATTCATGTAATCTGCAAATAGGGATAGTTTGACTTCCTCCTTCCCAATTTATATCCCTTTGATTTCTTTTCCTTGCCTAATGGCACTGGCTAACACTTCCAGGACTATATTGAATAGCAATGGTGAGAGTGGGCATCCCTATCTGGTACCAGATCTCAGTGGGAATGCTTCCAGCTTTTCCCCATTCAATAGGATGCTGGCCATGAGTCATAAATTGCCTTGATTGTGTTGAGGAATGTTCTTTCTATACTCATTTTACTTAGGGTTTTCATCATGAAAGGGTGTTGTATTTTATCAAATGCTTTCTCTGCATCTATTGAGATAGCCATATGGTTTTTGTTCAGCAGTTTGTTAATGTGATATATCACATTGATTGATTTGTGAATGTTGAACCATCCCTGCATACCAGGGATAAATACCACTTGATATGGGTGGATGATCTTTCTGATGTGTTGTGGATTCGATTGGTTAGTATTTTGTTAAGGATTTTTGTGTCTATGTTCATCAGGGAAATTGATCTCTAATTCTCTTTCTCAGTTGCATTTTTTTCCAGGTTTAGGAATTCAGGTGATGCTGGCTTTGTGGAAGGAATTTGGGAGGATTCCCTCCTTTTCATATGTTTTGAATAACTTGAGAAGAGTTGGAGTTAGTTCTTCTTTAAATGCCTAGTAGAATTCAGCAGTGAAGCCATCCGGTCCTGGGCTTTTCTTTGTTGGGAGGGCCTTTGTTACTGATGCAATTTGGTTATGGGTCTGTTTAGGTTTTCTGTGTCTTCATGACTCAATTTAAGTAGGTTATATATGTTCAGAAATCTATACATTTCTTCTAGGTTTCCCAGTTTGTTGGCATAGAGCTCTTTGTAGTAATTTCTGATGATTCTTTTTATTTCTGTGGTTTCTGTTTTACATTTCCCTTTTCATTTCTAATTTTATTGATTTGCATCTTCTCTCTCCTTTTTTGGTTAGTTGGGTCAATGTTGCTTCAATTTTTAAAAATTTTTAAAAGACTTATTTATTTATTTATTTGAAAGTCAGAGTTACACAGAGAGAGAAGGAGAGGCAGAGAGAGAGAGAGAGAGAGAGAGAGAGAGAGGTCTTCCATCCCCTGGTTCACTCCCCAATTGGCCATAATGGCTGGGGCTGCACTGATCCGAAGCCAGGAGCCAGGAGCCAGAAGCTTCTTCTGGGTCTTTCACGTGGGTGCAGGGGCCCAAGGACTTGGGCCATCTTCCACTGCTCTCCCAGGCCATTGCAGAGAGCTGGATTGGAAGTGGAGCAGCCAGGACTTGAACCGGCGCCCATTTGGGTGCTGGCACTGCAGGCGGCAGCTTTACTTGCTACCCCACAGTGCTGGCCCCAATTTTGTTTATTTTTTCAAAAAACCTGCTCTTCGTCTTGCTGATCTTTTGTATTTTTTTATTCAATTTTTTGATTCTTCTCTAAGTTTAATTATTTCTTTCCTCCTACTAGTTTTGGGTTTGGTTTGCTGTTGTTTTTCTAGATCCTTGAGATGCATTGATAGCACATTTATTTGGTGCCTTTCCGATTTCTTGATATAGGCACCTATTGCTATAAACTTTCTTCTTAACACCACTTTTGCAATATCCCATACATTTTGATATGTTGTGTTGTCATATTCATTTATTTCCAGAAATTTTTTGATTTCTCTTTTGATTTTGTCTGTGACCTACTGTTCAATCTGGAGCATGTTGTTCAGTCTCCATGTGTTTGCATATGTTCTAGAGATTCCTGAGTTGGTGATTTTCAGCTTCATTTCACTGTGGTCAGAGAAGATGCATGGTATGATTTTGATTTTTTTGATTTTGTTGATACTTGCTTAATGGCCTATTATATGGTCAATCCTAGAGAAAATTCCATGCATTGGTGAGAAGAATATGTATTCTGAAACTTTAGGATAAAAAGTTCGGTAACTATTTTTTAGGTCCATTCGGTCCATGCAGTCTATAGTGTCAATTAAATCTGCTATTTCCTTGCTGATTTTCTGTCTGGTTGATCTGTTACTGAAAATGGAGGTTTGAAGTCCCCCATTACTATTGTATTGGAGTCTAAGTCTCCCTTTAAATCTCTTAACATTTCTTTGAAATAGCCAGGTGCCCTGTAATCAGGTGCATATATGTTTATAATAGTTACATCTTCCTGTTGAATTGGTCCCTTAATCATTACCTAGTACCCTTTGTCTCTTTTAACAGTTTTTGTGTTAAAGTTATTTTGTCTTATATATTTTTTTGACAGACAGAGTGGACAGTGAGAGAGAGAGACAGAGAGAAAGGTCTTCCTTTTTCCATTGGTTCACCCTGCAGTGGCCGCGCTGATCTGAAGGCAGGAGCCAGGTGCTTTTCCTGGTCTCCCACGTGGGGGCAGGGCCCAAGGACTTGGGACATCCTCCACTGCACTCCCGGGCCACAGCAGAGAGCTGGCCTGGAAGAGGAGCGACTGGGACAGAATCCAGTGCTCTGACCGGGACTAGAACCTGGTGTGCCGGCGCCGCAGGTGAAGGATTAGCCTATTGAGCTGCAGCACCGGCCTATTTTGTCTTATATTAAGATGGCTACACCAGCTCTTTTTCTGTTTCTGCTATCATGGAATATCTTTTTCCATCCCTTTACTTTCAGTCTGTGTGCATCTTTGTTGGTGAGATGTGGTTCTTGTAGGCAGCAAATAGATAGGTTTTGTTTTTTAATCCATTCAGCCAGTCTGTGTCTTTTAACTGGAGAGTTGAGGCCATTTACTCAAGGTGACTATTGTAAGTAACAACTTGGCACTGCCATTTTCCCAAAAATTTTCCTATTTTTTACTTTTTACTCCTCCTCTTACTCCTCCTCCTCCTCTAATTTTGTGTCCCTCTAATTTTGGGAAAATTTCCTCTGCCATTTCCTCCCTAAGTCTTTCCTGAGACTACACTATCTCCATTTTTTTAAAATTACCTTATCCTGGACTAGAGCACTAAGTGCCCTCCCTACTCCGCCATCTTGGAACCCTGAACCTCATTCTTGAGCAGGGAGATCCTTTAGCACCTAGACCCAGAAGAAGAATCCCATTCTTTCTGTTTAGAAAAAATAGTCTTCATTTTGGCACATTGAAACACAAGTTGGCACACCAAAAATTAATGGATCAAGGAATAGTGAGAATCCTCCAGGTATTTTTTTAAAGATTTATTTATTTATTTGAAAGTCAGAGTTACACAGAGAGAGGAGAAGTGGTGTGGGGGGGTCTTTCATCTGATGGTTCACTCCCTAGTTGCTCGCAATGGCTGAAGCTGTGCCGATCCAAAGCCAGGAGCCAGGAGCTTCCTCTAGATCTCCCACACTGGGACAGGGGCCCAAGGACTTGGGCCATCTTCTACAGCTTTCCCAGGCCATAGCAGAGAGCTGGATCAGAAGTGGAGCAGCTGGGTCTCGAACCGGTGCCCATATGGGATGCCAGTGCTTCAGGCCAGGGCATTAACTTGCTGCGCCACAACACCAGCCCCAAGCTCCAGGTATTTTTTAAGGAGACTGTAGCATTACTATAAAGGCCGTGCTAGAGGAGGAGCCTCCTTGGATAACATCCATACAATAGGTAGAATTTAATTTTCAGAACAACAGTCCATGCACTGTCTGTTCATTGTAGAACTCTCAATTCAGAAACAACAGCCACTTATTTTTTTATAAAGATGTATTTAAGGGCCGGCGCCGTGGCTCACTAGGCTAATCCTCCGCCTAGCGGCGCCGGCACACCGGGTTCTAGTCCCAGTCGGGGCGCCGGATTCTGTCCCGGTTGCCCCTCTTCCAGGCCAGCCCTCTGCTGTGGCCCGGGAGTGCAGTGGAGGATGGCCCAGGTGCTTGGGCCCTGCACCCCATGGGAGACCAGGAAAAGCACCTGGCTCCTGGCTCCTGCCACCGGATCGGCGCGGTGCGCCGGCCGCAGCGCGCCGGCCGCGGCGGCCATTGGAGGGTGAACCAACTGCAAAGGAAGACCTTTCTCTCAGTCTCTCTCTCTCTCTCTGTCCACTCTGCCTGTCAAAAAATAAATAAATAAATAAATAAATAAATAAAAAATAAAATTAAAAAAAGATGTATTTATTTATTTTGAAAGAGTTAGAGAGAGAGGGAGAGACACAGAGAGAGAGATCGTCCATCTACTGATTCAGTCCCCAGAAAGCCGCAACAACCAGCGCTGGGCCAGGCTAAAATCAGAAGCCTGCAGCTTCATCCAGATGTCCGTGGGGGTGCCAGAGACTTAAGGCATCCTCCACTGCTTTCCTCTGGCCATTTGCAGGGAGCCTCATAGGAAGCAGAGCAGCCAGGACACGAGCCAGTAGCCATATGGGATGCCAGCATCTCAGGTGGTTGCTTTACCCCCTGTGCCACAGCACTAGCTCCACAACAGCCATTTTATTTGTTTATGTAATTATTTATTTATTTTTAAAAATACACATTCAAATGTGTTTATGGAGGTTTTTAAAGATTTTTTAAATTTATTTGAAAGGCAGAGTAGCATGAAGAGGTAGAGGGAGATCTTCCATCTGCTGGCTCACTCCCCAGATGGCTACAACAGCCAGAGTTAAGCCACTCCCAAGCCAGAAGCTAGGCCTGGCCTAGCCCTAGTCATCGTGGCCATCTGGGGAGTGGACCAGCTGATGGACGATCTCTCTCTGCCTCTCCCTCTCTGTAACTCTGCCTTTCAAATAAATAAATAAATAAAATAAAAGCTTCTTCCAGGTCTCCCATATGGGTGCAGGGACCCAAGTACCTGAGCCATCTTCTGCTGCTTTCCCAGGCACATTAGCAGAGAGTTGGATCAAAAGTGGAGCAGCCAGGACTTGAACTGGTGCCCATATAGGATGCTGGCACTGCAGGTAGTAGGCTTAACTTTCTATGCCACAGTTCCAGCCCATAAATAAATCTTTAAAAAAAAAAAAAAAACCTGAAGACTGAAGAAAGTATTCTTTTCTGTCAAAGTCCTACATTTAGACTCAGTTGAAGGCTCATTATCCAATGTCTTTTACAGTATGGGATTGTAACCCTGCTGAATCTGGAAGGAGCTGTCCATCACTGGAAGGGAAACAGTCTACCCAGAGCTAATTTCCAGCACTCGGATTCTAGGTAGTAGTAAAGATGTTTGACGTTCTCACTCAGTCACTTCTGGCCTATCCCAAATCCCCCTCAGGGGATACCTGAGTGGCCATTTCTTTTCCTGGCTAGCTGTCTTTTTCTCTGTCCACACCTACTGCACTGCCAACCCCACCCCTGACCTGGGTTCTGGTTCCAGTCTCACTTCAGAACAGTTGTAGGTCCTACTCCTTCTAAGTTTAGCACGTCCCAGGCCAACTTGATGGTTCCAATAATCCCCAGCCCATATTTCCTTGACTTAGGCTAAGGGACTCCA